TGCATTTTTTGAATTTATCAATACACTATTTTTTTTTTTAAAAAAAAAAGCTTGAGACATTAATTAAAAATAATGACTCATTTAATAATTACATAATACTAGATAATCAATTTAAATATCGTATTACATATTTTGAGGTAAAAAATCTCTTATTATTGTTCTTAATTTTAGATCACCGTTCTTTCTTTTTTTTTGCATATCACTAATCAAGACTCGTTCATATATTGCTTATACTATTTAAAGTTCTTAGTAATAATAATTATAGCCTATTACAAATTTTTTTTAAATTATCATCTATTTTATGTAATAATCAAAAAATTCTTATCAACCGATTTTTTCCGTAATCATCATATCAGTTAGAATGATTTAACCTATTTCGAAATTTCCCATAAATTTTCCGAATTCCTTTTTAGGCAATTCCTTATTTATTGTATGATGCAGGAAAAATGCAGATGAATAAACAATAAACAAAAAAAAAAAGATTTCATCTTGTTTTTTGTTTATTGATTTTCTTCTTTTTTATTTTATTTATTTTTTTTACATTGTAATGTAAATAAAATAAAAAACAAAAAAAGGGTTCATTTATTTGTTTTATTTTTATTATTATTTATTTAACATACTGTATATGCAACAAATATAAAAATGGAACTGTGTATTCGTATTTCGGCATGTAAAAATCCCGAATGTATTTTTTCCCCCTTTTTCTGTTTTTTTAAAAAAAACTCACATTTTTTTAATGAGCTTAAATTTTACCTATATAATATTCTTTTGTTAAGCAATTAAAATATTCAAAATGCTTTACATTATATTTAGAAATAAGCTTATATTAATTATAACGTTTATTATAATATTTATTGTTGTTAATTTTGCCTTTCCAACTTACAAATCAATTAATTCAACTGGTAACACTCTTCAAAAACGACAAGGGCCAGGACCAGGTGATGCAAAGGGACCAGGTGGCAGAAAAGAACCAGGTGGCGGAAAAGATCCGGGCGGTGCAAAAGAACCAGGTGGCGGAAAAGAACCAGGTGGCGGAAAAGATCCGGGCGGTGCAAAAGAACCAGGTGATGATGATGATGCAAAAGGACCGGGTAAAGGAAAAAAAGCGCCAAAAGAACCACCTAAAGAACCACCAAAAGAACCGGAACCAAAAGCACCACCAAAAGAACCACCAAAAGAACCACCAAAAGAACCACCAAAAGAACCACCAAAAGAGCCACCAAAAGAGCCACCAAAAGAACCACCAAAAGAGCCACCAAAAGAACCACCAAAAGAACCACCAAAAGAACCACCAAAAGAGCCACCAAAAGAGCCACCAAAAGAGCCACCTCCACCTGCACCAAAGGAGCCACCAAAGGAGCCACCAAAAGAACCACCTCCACCTCCACCTCCACCTTCACCTGCACCAAAGGAGCCACCAAAGG